TTGGCTTCCGTACAGTCTGCCCTTTGGAAGGAACATCAAACGACTCGGATATTGCAGCGAGGGAATTTAAATCTCTGACCCCGAGCGGCTCTCTATCCGTCCACCTACACTCGCGCTTGTCTACCGGTTCAACGTACACCCTCTGCCACCCTACGGTACTATTATATCTCTTTTGGATCCGCGCCTCTGCTTGGCATCGATGAGCTGGATCTTACGACGAGCGCGAAAAAAAGACACCCACCCACTGAGTACCATTCCGGAATGGACCCGGTCCATCTAAACTTTTTCCACCTAAAATTATCTTTCTGGCCTTCTTTCGATTCCCGTCACGTTCAATTTACTTACGACACACACACACATACATACACACTGTCGTACTATAAGTATTTGAACTTCTGTGTATATAAAATGAGACTGAAATTTTGATCTCTAATCTTGTCTTGGATATTTAATACATGATATTAACTATATCTTGTATAATTATTTAAATGAGTCAAGATTATCTATCAAATACAAAGAAGAAATTGAAGATTGATGATAAATTTATCTTACAGAAACTTTGAATAAGTGTATATATCTGGACTATTAGTAGCGATTCTACGTTTATCTGAATTTCATAAAACAACAAATACTGCAAATTTGCAGGGAATTGCCCCTTCACTGTGGAAAAGATTAAAGATCCCATTGTCGAACACTGTGTCCTAAACACTTACGGACGGTAAATGCTTAGAAGCATTTTCGTTGGAAAACTCGTGCGACAGAGTTCAATTCGAGACAGAGCGACAAAGAGTGCCGATTAAGGTATTTTGCGATCAGCTCGATAACAAAAGGACAGGGCGATCGAATTCCAGCGCTGGCTCGCTTTTGTTCCCGGTTGTTGTTTGCAGGGGGGTGGTTTGAAGCTGCTTTTAGAAATTCGTGACTGCGCGAGCCGTGCGTTTAAAACAAACGTCGGGACGCGCGGCGACGCAGCCGGCCACGGAGAGAATCAAAGTTCCAATCTCGGAGAGGGAACCCGAACTGCTGGCCCTCTTCTCTACCAAGAGTCAAGTAGTTGGCCGGCTGCGAGCTACCGAACTTTATCAGGAATCTCTGATCTACTTAACCCGGTTCTGCACTTCGGCTGTATACGAGATTTAGCTATGCATTATCGAGGAGCTGCTTCTCGTCAAAGGGTTCCTCGCCAGGCCGTTCCAAGTGGACTCTACTACTTCCGGCTAGCCAGGCCGCGTTTCTTATCCCTCTTGGCCTAGATATTTCCACTAAGCTACGGCGGTTCGCGAACACGTAGAAACGTAGTAGTAATAGATCTTTGTATATTAGAACTCTGGAGAAATATTGTTGTAATGCACAAACTTTTGGATCTGGAAACACGAACGTGTCGTGTTTTAAGCACTTTCTTTGTCAACTCTGTTCTGTCTGAACGGAAAAATCTTCTCTTGGCCTTGCTACCACGTATCGTCGTCAGCCGAAAATGTTTTCTTCCCGTTGATTAAATGAGAGACAGAGAGAGAGAGAGAGCGTGGAGAGATTTGCGTTTGGCCAGCTACGCGGAAAGCTTCACGGGCGCATAGAAGTTGGGAGTTAAGCTGAACGAAAAGAGCTTTGCCGAATGCGAAGAGACGGTGTCTCTTTTAATTAAAAACTTCCCCATCCAGCTGGCTGCCGAAAGCAACGGCAATTAGAGTACAGATAATCAAGAAGCGGCCGAGCTTCCGACAACTTGCCACCGCTGCCAGCCTTTCAAAGGAATATGTAAGCGAATTAATGAACTAATTAATCAATTAGTCAGCTGGTGCAACGAGTCTCCGGCTGATTGTCGTGTACACAACGTTACTCGTTGCTAATCCCTGCGAAGCTGACCGATTTCGCGAGTTTGATTCGCGAGACAGACTCTCTCTCTCTCTCTCTCTTAATTTATTCCTTGGTATGAAATTGACAGAATGCTAAAAGACTGCTGCACGTGACGACGTCATTCTTCCAAAATTTTTATCGTACATTCCGTGTTAAAAACGTTCTTAACAAAAACATCGAAATCTTATCAATCATTGAATGATCGAGAGATATTCTTGTAATTCGTTTTTATACGAGTTTATAATTAGAAATAGTACTCTGAGAATTATACTCGATGTACATTCGGTGTTAAAAACGTTCTTAACAAAAACATCGAAATCTTATCAATCACTGAATGATCGAGAGATATTCTTGTAATTCGTTTTTATACGAGCTTATAATTAGAAACAGTACTCTGAGAATTATACTCGATGTACATTTATATATTCACCTGGCATTTGCCATTCCACCTTGGCAATGTTTTAATACGTACAACTAATTAAAAGATACTGCAGTATTGTGAACATTTAAACACGTTTGAACAGTGCACGTTCGTATTCACAAAGTTTCGAAGATTAATTAAAAATCAGTGTAAACGTGACAAGAATCACGTGTACAATGTCTGCAATTTTGTTTCTGTTAGAAAAATAAATGTCACGTGCAGGAAAATAATACAACGTTTCATTTAAGAGAAACGCAATGGACAGGGACGAGGGTTGACGGAATTAACCTGCGAAATCAATTAACACTCTGGTGCTCTAAGCTTTCGAAATCCCGGTGAAAGAACCGGAGAATAAATTCCCTCGGATGCCGTATCACCGGCAGATCGGCGATAAAAACCGCGCGCAGGGACCCAGAGGGCCGTGCTTTATCTCGGAGGAAAAACGACACCGCGTAACCCTTTGCTCGGGCGAGCTGCGACTTAATAGCGGTGCCTTTTTGCCACGCGGAAAATCCGCCCGCCTTCCATTATTAGTTTATCAACGACAAAGACTGGAGTCGGACCTGTAATCACGACCGTTCTCAGGCGGTAACTTCGAGCGTTATTTGCGACGTAAGAAACGAAACTTCTTGTTCGCTGTTTCGTTTGCTTCGTCACTTGCACAGTTACGAAGAGACACACCGATAAAGTAATGAAACGGGAAGGAAGTCCGACGACTGGAAAATTCGGAAAAGATCTTTGCCAACAAATTCAAAAGTTGCTCGGTGATTTTGTTCGCAATAATGAAACATGACTTTGTTTGCTTGCTGAAAAACGGCCCTAGGAATGAGAACATTCGTGAAGGAATTTTGACTTTTTCGATTAGTTGTGAAATTGTACAAAAGCTTTGAGTAAACGTCAGTGTTTGAACGTCGGAGATTTTTGAGTTGACGAAGAATTTATAAAAATGCTTATCTTGTAGGAAATTCCACTTTGAGATACAGAGAACAAGTTAAATTTCTTTTTGTACAATATTGTTGCAAAAGTTCTAGAATTCTGTATCAAACAGGGATATTTATTAAATTGAAACAATGAATTGCGAGATCCTCTCGAATGAGTGACAAGAATTTCATAAAAAATGCGAGTTTTACGCAGTAGCGAAAGTTTTAATTCTAGATAAACATTATAACTTCCGAGCACTTGATAATTACAATATCATTCTTTAAATATATATTTTTCATTATGAAAGACTTGTATAAGGAACTTATAACAAGAAAAATTCAAGTACTCGAGAAAATTACTTGGAAGAAATGACTAAATTGCTTAAATACGATGCTCTTATCGCACTTAACATCTGTCATATTGAAATTTATCATTGCATATTGCAGTATTGATAAAGAAACGGGCATACACGAGTTACATGCGCTTTCTCAATTGAATCAATTTTAGAATGTCTCACGTTCCTTCACGTAGCTAAAATTAGAATTTTTACTACCGTGCGTCATTTTTTTCACGAAGAAACCATTCTCGCCTCTGCACCGTTGTAATTTATCACAGTAAGAGGCTCTTCATGATACATTATCCTCTGTCATGCCTCGCGAACTTCTTCAGGAAAAGTCGTAGATAGGCTTCGACATAGTGGCTCACAGTTTTGGCAAAAAGGATCGCGAAAACCATATACCATACACGTACAGGTCTGCATCGATCGGCGCTTTTTCCAGGCGGTTATCGGCTAACTTAACGGATTCTTTTTCAAGAGATTTCGAAGAGAGGGACACATGGGAGAGTTGGCTGGCTTGAAAATCGTGCCGGTTCGACAACTGGCGATATTGGTTTGCGCACAAGACTAAAACTCCTCCCCCCCCTCTCTCTCTCTCTCTCTCTCTAGCTAGGTGATTCTTTTATTTTTCAACCAAAGCAGATTCCCTCGTGGAATTCCATCGCGGATTCTGTCGTGGAATTCCGAATGCACGTTCCAGGCACGGTTGGCGGGAATGAAAATCGTCGGGCACGTATCCGGTTGTGCCCTTCGACAACCGTTCGGTATTACAGCAGGAAACTCTCTCTTTATATCGCCACCCTTTCCCGTCGTCCACATCGAATCGAAAGCAATTGAACTTCCCCTACGAACTTTTGTCATCGAACCATGAATCTTGCGAACCACGGCAAAGCATCGACACAACGTTTGATCATAGAGAGTACACGCGGTTCTAAATAATTTGCGCTGGGTGTAGGTAAAAGGTTTCGGGGCAATGATTCAAGATCCCTCGGCTTAAAGTTTCATCCTTCTCCTCCTCCGAAGAAGACAAGGTTTTTAGGTCTCCTCTCGGCGAGGCTTAAGGCGTTAACGTAAGGGTGGAAAACGATATAGCGCGGTCGTAAAATCAGAAGGAAAATTAAAATTTATACGTCCGAGTAATTTGAGGGATTATCGGATTAAAGAGATCAAGCGATCACTTTCGAAGAGCGCCAACTGGAAATTGTTTCCTCTCGTCTTTTTCGAAAGTGCACGCGAATTTCTTCTTTTACGAATGTAATCACGCGTTGATTAATGACATTATGAGTACAATACGTTTCGCGTTATTACGAAAATTAGTACTACAAAAATAAAATGTACAACCTAAAAGAAGAGTAAAAAGAAGAGTCAAAAAGATAAAAGAACGGGAGTGCAAATACATCAATGGAAGTTTCTCTAGTAAAGTAAAGTAATTTACGACACTGCTATATTTTCCCCACTCACTGCTAGCATATATCTGAAAAGTTCCTGGACAAGTGCTATATTTTAATACTATACGGCGAAGAATCTTGGATATAAAATTATATCAGAAAATGCACGTTTGTTTTAGACAAAATTTAAAAATCTGACTGTCTAAAGCAAACGCTGAACGTTAAAAATAAAACCGTGCCCGGAACATCTTTTCGGCAGGTTTGAGGTATTTTGAAGAGACGTGATGGTACGTAATGGGCGTATCTCGGTCGACGTCGACGAGTTAATCTTCATTATCTGAACGTTATCGAAAAGGGAACGTTAGAAAGACAAACTACCAGTGCGCGTGGTAGAGCTTACCTTGGATATGGGCAACACAGCTTGTATGTCGTCTTTCTGTATTTCGAGGCGGACCTGTAGCTTTCGCCTTTCGGCGTGATGATGATGATGATGCTGCATCTGTCTCTGCTGCAATCTCTGCTGATCCATCCCATTTAGCTGAGAGTCGTTGTCGAAAGCGTAACGTACGCTCCAGACGATTCGACCACCATCCCAATTCCCCTCCACCCCCTCCTCGCTCGCCTCCAGAAGCATCGTTAGAATCTCCTCCGCCGATCTGCAAACGACAAATATGCGATCCTCGCGGTGACTGGATTCTGATTGTATCTTCGCCAATGATTATAACCACTCGATTCATCGTTTGTATTTCTCACCCGTTCATCGACTGCCTGACATATTTGAATTCACACGTCATCCACAAGTGGATATGTAGCAAGTATTTTCATCGTGCACTCGATTTTTTTTTTTTTTTTAAACGTTGGCACAGCTTGGCGAGAAAGACAACAAATTTTAAGAGGAGATTTCCTTCAATCTTGAAAATCGCGGTGGATTTAACTTAGGCACAAAGTTTTTCATTGCCCGGGAGAAAAAGTATCTTTGTTCGTTCTCTCTTTCAGACGACGTTTTCAGAATGAAAACTAACTCGAAAGATGAACCGAGGTGGATTTTTCTGCGATTTTTGTTCCCGTGAGCTGTTTGAAGTATTCGACAATATTTCACCGATTGTATGCGTACCTTCCGCACACGATGATTTAGAATTTTATTTTTGGGATCGTACGTTGCAGCTAGATATTCAGCGATGCTGTTAAAATGTCGTCAGTTTAATCCAAATGATGATGAATTTGGAAACGTTGGTAGTTCACAAATAGTTCGTCGAAACTGTCGGTTTTGAATATTGTAAAAGTCACTTAATAGACACTTTCCTTCCATGGAAAGATTTTTATATTAGCGTTTAATTTTAATTACAAAAGCCAATATATATTGATTAAGTTAACTTCGCTAACTTCGCGAATTTTCAACTCTCTATAATATCATGAAATTTGAAAATCAGACATACATGTGTCCATATTTTGAAGATTTTATTTCGTATACTTGCTTTGCTGTTTTATTTCACGAATACACTGATTCTACATATTATACAACACTATTCTATAAAATTCTCAATCTGTGTATCGGGTCAGTCTTGAAACAAAGATTTTCCATGCACGAAAGATTGATGGCATGCAAATTAATTTTATAATAAGACGTTCAGGTCTTTCCAAAATAGAAGTACAACTTTCAAAAGCAAATCAAAACAAGAACAGCGCATTAAAAGATAGAAGGTTCATAAATAAAGAAAAACCTCGATGTCCTAAATTTAAAACGAGTCATGTCTCTCCTTTTATTGCGTTATATTTTTGGAAGAAGAAAAGAAGCTTTCTTTGCAAAGAAGCTACAAGACACGACAATGCAACGTGGTATCCAGATAAAATATACAACTATATACCGTGGCAAATGGAGCATTTGAGTATTGGCATTAAAATGGCGGAAAAGCTGCTGAGGGCTGTCCTTCGTAAGTATTACAGCATCCATTGATATTAATACAAATTGATATTCTTCACTGTTTTTTACTTAGTTATTTTATTATAAATTTATCATTTATCATGTGTGGCCTATAAAGTGAAATCTTTGAGAATATTCCAATAAGTAGATATTTCGTCCAACTCGAATTTTTACCGCTCTTATTTTCCGATTATTTTAATATATGTAAATCTATTATAACACGAGACGAAGTAAGATTTGTTAGAATTTTTCAACGAATGAATATTTAATACGAATCAAAGGTTAAACTTCTCGAAAGGTTCTTCCCCTTAGCTATTTTATTGACAAACCCATTATTTTAGTTATTATTCCAGTATATACGCCATACAAATATAAAATAATCGATATCGAATAAATAGATATTTAATACAAATCGAATGTTTTTCATTGCCTTTCACCATCGACAAAACGACGTAAAATTTGTTATTATTCACCAATAAATAAATATTAAATACAAACCTTGCGAATGCTTTTCACCGCTCTCTTTTTCTAGTTATTTTATTATAAACCCATTATTTCAGTTCGAACGTGTAATATAAAATACAAAATAAAGTGGAATTCATTAGAACTTCCAATAAATAGATATTCAACACAAATCGAATGCCTCTCGCTGCTTTTATTTTTCAGCGCTATTGTATTGTAAATCCATTATTTCCTCTTCACCACGCACACGCTCCACGTAATATAAAATCCAGAATTTAAAAGCAAAAAATTTATCAGAATTTTCCAATATGCGTCCTAATAGTTACGATTGTTAGCGTGTGTAAAGCGATAAATATAGATTGCGGATTTTTATGCAAATTTTCTCCACTATGTACAATGTTACACATTTCTCTTACTTAAACACGCGACGCGTTAACTTACCACTGTTAAATAAATAAATAAATAATTCTTATTATTATTATTATCATTATCGTATCACTGAAGATGAAATCTAAATCTAGAAACTAAATAAAGACATTTTTCATACATTAAATGCTACAACGAGTACCATATTTCAGATATTTTTACATATTATTACGCGCGCTGAATCCATTAAAATAGACGCATGGCCTGGTGATAAGCTCAACGGCAAACTCTAACATCGACGACGTCAGCCAGCGAATAAAACTCACCGAAACTAGAGACAGAAGAAGAGCTGAGAACGAGCACGAAGTAAAACGTGGAAGTTCATCCAGCGAAACAGCCCCTAACTAGAGGAGGAGCAAGTTGCAACGATAAAGCGTCCTTCGTACCTGGGTATTTCTCAAGCTCCGAGCAACTAACGAGGATTTCGTCGAACAATCAACGAGACGGGACGAGACGAGACGAGAAACTTGCGACGAGGGTATTTCCAGTTACAAGTCTAGCAGCTCGGTGTTACGTAACACGCTTGTGCTACAAAGTCGCGAGCGTTTCACGATCCCGTCGAACACGCATTAACGATCCATCCGTCTACGTCGTGATCACGAGGGAACAAGGATCACACCACGGTGGAACAGACGGTTATTATCAGAGGATTTATCGCTCGAAACAACTATGACGGCTCCGCTGTCAGTTTTAGCAAATTGAAGGAGAAAAACCTAGTCTATCTTGAGAACCGTTCGAGATTCACGGAGGACTGCGAAATCGCTGGCAGATCAATGTCACGATGGAAATTCCGAGACGAGCAGGATATCACATTTATGATCTTATTTTCAATTTGGGTACAGATAAACTGGTTACATCGCTTGCCTGCAACTTGTGAATTAGGCCAATGAATTGGGACCATTCGCGGTTCTTCAATGTTCCATTTATACGCAAATTCGCATTTCATAAACGGAACTTTGAATCCAAGTTTTCTACAAATGTACAAAAATAGTGACTATTTATTTCAAGAGCAATAGAATCACTTCGACTCGAATTACATACACAGAGAATAAATAGATGGGATTTATTGATCTTTGTTCCAGATAGTTGGCAAACGAAGCGCAATTGAGGAGAAGCCGAGGAAAAATTAGCAGAGAGATAAACGCATGGAAGAAGAGTCAACCGAGTCAAACGAATTTTCATTTTCATCGAAGATAATGCCGTTTTATCGAGAGCATAGGTCTCGACGTTGCGTGTTCGATGTTTGCACACGATCGATAAATCAAAAGCACGACATTAGATCTACTTTAGCGAGAGAGAGAGAGAAAGAGAGAGGGAGGGAATGAAAGCATCGCAGGGTTAGAGGCAAGAACGTACAGTGATACTCACTACTTTTACTTTTCCCGCGGACCATTTCTGAAATGGACGTTTCGCGCCCCGATTCTTGACTGCGATAAAATCTTTCTCCGATTCTCGC